TGAAGTCATCCGAGTATTCTCTGATCGTGTAGAATCTTAATATGTCAGCATGATCCATGGGGACTATTCCACGTTTTGCCGTGGGTATGAAGTCACCTTTCAAAAATCCCTATGGATTTTCGGATCAAGCTCATAAATTTCTACATCAGGAGATGAATCCATCAAGAAAGAAGAAAGCAAAAATGATTCATTCTTCTGAAATTGCACTGCGTGTTATCCGTTGGCAGTGTGCGGCGGCTTACCGATTGGTTGTGTCCCTTATTCCCTTATCCATTCAGAAGAAGAAAGGTTCAACAGTAAGGGCAGCGCACCTTATTTTCACAGCTGAACTTGTTTCCCTTATCTATTCAGAAGAAGAAAGGTTCAACGGTAAGGGCAGCGCACCTTATTTTCACAGCTGAACTTGTTTGACTCTGATGGGTATGGTGGGTGATTCCTTGAACACCTCTACAAGAAAGATTTCCCTGGTGCCAAAGTTTAGTGGCTATGGTTGCTCCTTACTGGCTATGGTCATTTGTTAACGGCCATGGTTGTTTGGTGATGGTTATTTCACAGCTGAACTTCTTCAACTCTGATGGGTATGATGGGTGATTCCTTAAACACCTCTACAAGGAGTTCCCTGCTGCCAATGTTTAATGGCTATGGTCATTTGTTAATGCCTATGGCTGTTTGGTAATGGCTATGGTTGTTTGGTAATCGCTATGGTCATTCGTCAATGGCTACGGTTGTTTGGTAATGGCTATGGTTGTTTGGTGATGGCTATGGTTGTTTGGTGATAGCGAGGGGGTTGACTCACCGCTGAAGTTATGTTCTGATGGCTATGGTGATTTCTTGAAAATCTCTGCAAGGACACGCTCTCTGCCTCAGCAGTCCCCCTTCAACCCCAGCCTGGCCCGCACACATCGTTCACCAAATAGTCAGCGAAGGTGTAAGGAGAAGCCAAGATCTCGAAAAAAGATGCATTTTTTCTTCTTTTTTTTGTTTTGTTTTTTAATAATTTGCATCTAAAAAATTCGACCTCTACAACAACCTGGGCATTAAAAAAGAAGAAGAAGAAGGAGAAGAAGAAGAAGAAGAAGAAGAAGAAGAAGAAGCCCGGAGTATCCCTGCCGGCTGGACAGCCAGGCAATCAGCACAGGCACCCAGTAACCTAGGGGAAGGCTTTTTTTAATGTTTTTCTTTAGTTTTTCAATATTCAGGAATCCCGTGGATGAAAATTCAAGATTGCGAGCGCATCGCCGGTTAGCGCAAGTCCGCAGCCCTAATTCTCATGCCAACCCGCCACGCTGTGCCACAGCACGCCGCCATACGCCTGGCCCTCCACGTGCAAACGCGAGGTGCCACGCCACGTAGTAGGTGGCGCTGCCCAGCTCCAAGGTCGAATCTGGTTAGCTGCATTCATGTGATTTTGTAAGGGCCTATCTGAAGTGACTATCAGACCGTCCGTCGCAGGAAGGGAGGACTGATCTCCTCAACTCTAGAATCCTCTACGAGCCAAGGAGGTGGATGACGACAAAGGGGTGAGCAAGGATCTTCGGAGCTCTACCCTACGTGGCTACATCTGATACCACTACGAGACAGCTACGAGATTCGTCTGCCTCCTCAAATGAACGGTAGGATTGCACCATTGGGTGTGGATTCCTCTACAAGTCGAAGCTTCGCGCCCAGCTACCACTACAAGTCAAGTATGGATGAGCCACTAGGTCAAGCGGGAATCACTATCCAGCCGTTCCTTTCATCAGACGAACGCTGGAATAGCATATGTAGGGGACTGTAATCCTCTACGAGTTGATGCTAGGCGAGAGTTGAAGGCGACAAGAGACTACGGACGAGCGACGGGACAGTAAGATTTCGTTGGGTCTTCCTAAGATTCCGCCTACTTGCAATCAAAAGGGAAAAAAGGCCAAAAAGCTATGAAAGACCTAACCGCCTTTTCAACGACGGAAAAGGCGTGGTCCAGCCACTGAGAAGTCCTCTACGTGTCTACGGACACAGGGGAGGATGCACTCGGGAAAGCGACAAAATCTTCGACTAAGTTTGGCAACTACGTCTATCCAGGGTGAATGTGATCGCTAAAGCAGCCAAAGAGAAGGCACAAGCAGAGCTTCTACACGTAAAGTGAGACAAAACCTACATCCCTCCTTTTACTGGCATTCCACTACCCATACCCCCTACCATTAATTGACAGACTATCTACCACCCCCACGCGGTCGGCTCCTCCATCCCACTCGTCCACCCCCCTCTCCATCCTTTTGCCAACCCCGACTCTCTTCCTCCGAAAGTTCCACAAAAGCCATCTTATCACCTGTTCCTGGTACGACCCCAGTAGCCTACTCCCCCTCAGCCAAATCCCCCTTCCATAGCCGTCATAGCCCCAATACCCATCTCCTCCTCTCCGCCACCCCCCCCCTCTACTCCCCTGCCACCCACAGCCATAGCCATATATTACATACAGGCTTGCTCGGCCCGTAGATACTGAACAGATAGTAAATAAATAGTTTATTAACAAAAAAAAAAAAAAAACACTTACACTTGTGCACCAGCGCCGCCCCCCCCCCTTCCTCACGTCATAGCTCCCAGCCCATGAAGCACATCCACCCCCCCTCCTCCCCCCTGTGGCTCACCCCTGTACTTCTTTTCCCTACCACCGGTATCTCAATTGCATACGCTGCCGGGCGCCCCAAGCCTTACGCCGCCCTTTACTTCCTTTAAAAAGATTACAGTTGGGGGTTGGATTTCGCACAATGGCCTGTTCTGACTGTTTTTGCCTTACGATCCGAGGTCACGAAAGACAATTGGCAAAGGGGGCGTAGACGACATGGGAAAACCAGACTCGAACGAGACTGAGGCGAAACGTGGACCACTGGGGGTGATTCTTCCGAGGATTGGCGATTGCCAGACAATTTCTTAATTTAATAAAAAACAGGGAATTTGAATACAGAACGGCGAAGTGCCGATTGGGTGGCCGAACTTGGGACAGTCGTTGGATTATAGTTATTGGATGGTGGTGTTTTCAGACTTGTGTCGGGCATTCCGACGGGACAGGGCTGGGACCAGGGCGCTGCAAAAGGCCCGGTACCCGACAAAAAGGCCGCATTGGCAAGTAACTTTTTGGGGCACCAAATAGGCCCGGTCCTAGGTTCGGGAGGAGGCTCGGTACCGGGGCGCTGCAAGTTTCTCGACAGCGCCTGACACTTGGGAAGTTGTGGCCGCAGCTGAGGCATTTGAAGCCGGGCCAAACAAACTATATAAGCCCAACTGGGCCCGGATTGAGGGGACTTCTGGGAGGCGCCCCAGAAGGGCGTACTCCACTGGCACATGAGTGCTGGCTCAAGGAGGGCTGGTGCCGGCACACGCCAGGTGCTGGTGGTTCCTTGGCGCACGAGTCCCCGATCAGGTGCGTTCGGAACGCACCTGCGGCTGGGTAAGGACCAGCGAACGAGCACAATCGTGCGCCGAAGGGGCACGATCCTCGTGCGCAAGAAGCCAATCATCAGGCTCCTTCTTGAGACCAATCAACGGACAGGGAGCACTAAGCAGGGCATTAACTCTAATCAAGGACGTACGGGCTTGAATCGAAAACGCACACGCTCTGATCGGTTGCATGCGAGCTCGACCAAGGGCGCACAGGATCTAATCAACTGCGCATGAGCTCGAATCAACTGCACACGGGAGGGTGTGGCAGACGTACGTGCTTGCGAACAGGCACAAGGGGCATCAGGGGGGATTTTCCGACTTACACAAAAGGGAGAACTGGTGTACTGGCTAGCCTGCGGGGAGCTAGCTCACGGAGGCCTAGGAGTACCGGGGGGAACTGGCACAGGGGGGTGAGCTAGCTCTCGCCAGAGCACGCGCCGGCGCACGCACGAGCGAAAGGGGACATCGTGCACCAAGGGGGCACGATCCCCGCACGCACGAGGAGGCCAATCAAGGAGGCTCCTTCCGACCAATGAACGCACTGATCATGTAAGAAGGAGCAACATGGACAGGGGCTGCTTCTCAGGAGGATAACGCATGAGAACTGCGTCCCAACGGGAACCTGATTGTGAACGGTTTCATTCAAGAGGGACGAAGGTATGATCAGGAGATCGGATTAAAGCTCGGGGCTGCATTCTGGCGGCGAAGCCGAATACGAGCGAATCAATCAAGAGGGGACAAATAGGTGTATGCTAGCCCACACACAAGAGCAGAGTGAGCCTACGACCGGAATCTACCTGCGGGATGATCGAACTACGTGCTAGAGCCAAGCCGGGAGAGAGCGGAACTGTCCGGGCCAGAGAGCTGCGAGAGACAACAAAAAACAAAGCAAGAGCAGTCAGAGCTCGCGCGGGAAGCCCAACCAGCTGCACACGCAGCAAAATAGGCATGTACGAGTACGGATCCGCAAGCACGTGAACGGGAGAAGCGATCACTCAAGGGAGGCGTCGATGGCACTAACAGATGTTAGCGCAATGTAATTTTTGTCAGTGCTCGAAGCGTCGAGGTGAAGAGATTCAACTGAGCGTGTCGTTGGGCGAAACCACTACCATCACGCGGAACCACTACTATCGTGCACAACTACACGCGCATGAATGGATTGACGAGATATCCACTGCCAGGCCAGACTGGACCAGAGCGGACCAGACCAGACCAGACCAAGACTAAGGACAGGGCCAGATGCGCACCCGAGTGAGCCATGGCGTTGTCTCTTCTTACAGCCGAACGGGCGTCAGATTCGGACCCTGGACTCAAATCGAGAATCGGGCCTCAATGGGTCGCGATGCTACTTCGGACTCGGAGCTCTAGCAAGATCCCTTGGGGCTGACGGGAGCCGTACCGACGACACCCCATTGGTCGCAAGACCTAGCGGAGAACACTGACACGTTCGGTCTCAACAAAAACTAATCCTTTGGACTAGCGTGAGGGAGGTTGCTCTGGGATAGGATGTAGCGCGCTTGCGCCCATCGTTATTGACTGAATAAAATGATATTCTCTCTCTTTCTACATTTTAGTGGGTCGTCCAGCTCACACCTTGTTCTTATATCTGACTAAGTGGCAGATTTTACAGGTAACAGGAGCCCCGAGCGACCCTCCCGTGGGTGACAGACGCGGCGCGAGATACAGGGTCGGTCGGCGTGCCAGCAGGTCACTTCATCTGGCCGACAACGCCTCTTACAGACTCTCCTCTCCTCTCCTCACATCTTTCAACAGTGACAATGCTTGGCCTTTCATGTCAAGGAGTAGGACTGAGGGAGTGGCAAGGGGGGTCGACAGACCTTCTCAGACCGAAACAGCAGACATGGCCAGTCCAACCACAAGCCGCAATACGGCCTCCCTCAAACAATTTGTTCAGATAACACTGAGCAACCCACAAATGGACGACAACACTGAGCATCATAGATAACGACACCATAAAATTTTTGATTGAAAAAACAAAAGTTGAACGCGGACCAGTCACGACAAAGCAAAACACAGAAGGAAAAGAAGAAGAAGAGATTGTATGGAAGTACCCTGATGGGAAAGTGCCAAAATTGGACGACCCTCACGAAAGGCACGGTGTGGTTTTCAATTTTGCACACTATGGAGCAGAACTTGGATTATAAAAACAATAAAAAAGGAGGCAAACTCCAACATATTGGGGAAGCCTTTTCTCTGCAGAACTTGGGTCGTAAGAATATCATGGTGGTCTTCAACCATGAAGATCACGCATGGATCGCAACAGAAATGCAGCCCAAGAGCTACAACGGACCGATCCGCACGATAACCAAATGAAAGAAAGTGACTGCTCAGAGGCAAAATCCGATTTTCATGGTTTCATGCAAGCAAACACTGATAAAAGGGAATTTATGGGTACAGTTCCACAATATTCAATCGAGATTCCACGGTCCGTTGGTGGACAGACTGGAGAGACAGTATCCAGCAAAT